GATGATTTTTGGAACGGTGTTGGCAGTACTGCCAGCGCTGACAAACAATTTTGGAACACAGCCATAAGATAGACCCAGCATCTATAGTATATGCTTTGGCAGAACGGTGCGAGAGGCAAAATATCGGGGCAACCTGTCCTTCTCTGCGCGCGCATCTTGACAATCTTGACAAAATCAAAATGGCTGACTACGTTAGGATCGTGATCGTCTGCATTCTTTGCCCATTTTTATAATTGTGTTAATTTCCGTCACTAGTATGAATAATTGTGTTTATTCGCGTTTCTTGAAAAATTACGAAAAATTTACGAAAAATTTTTAAAAAATTACGAAAAATTTTTAATATTTATTGTACATATTTATAATGGGTGCTTTCCATTTGATGACACAAGTCGACACAGGTGTTGTTCTATCTTTGTCACTCTCTTAATGTCAACAAGGATAGAATGACGCTTGTGTCGATTTGTGTCATCAAATGGAAAGCATCCATTATAAATATGTAAATATTAAAAATTTTTCATAATTAATCGAATATTTGCATTGTCAGAGGAGGACTTAAACAAATTGTGGAGCATCCAATATTGTTATTTCTTTACTAACTGAGCTGTCAAACTTAAAAAAAATGACATTTATATGTATTGCTACACGTGCAAATAAATTCTGACAAATTGAGCAATTGTGTTTAAAAATAAAATTTTATTGTAATCCCAAACAAATGTATTAATGAAAGAATTTTATTTGTAGTTATGAAATTAATGATAACTTTGATAGATGTAACTTTGCCAAGTCATATTCCCATTATTTTTAATTTTTCATTTTGAAAATACTATAAATATAACAAATATAAAAGTAAGGAATCTTATAAGTATATAAAAATATTATTTTTTCTGTACATTGTAAGATTAGGTTTATCACGCGCGCGATAGCAGTAATGGGATAGATAAGGATCAAGTATATAAGAATAGATATTACAATAAAAATAAGCAATTTAATTTCTTTTAGTATCTTAGTAATATATATTTACATAACTACTATAATTTTCGTATACTTATATACATATATGTATATATCTATTACATTGTTGTATTATAATACTATTATAAATATATGTGTATGTTTTATATATGTGTGTGTATATGTTTGTTACTTTATTGATTTTTAAACAATATAAGTTTTGTGTACATTGACCTTATTCTGACGATGGTGTCTTTTTTTGATGCACTTTTATGATGAAGGCGAAGGTTGAAATACTTTGTAAGAATAATTTCAAGCAATTGCTTTCTATGATCAGCCATAGGACTTTGGTCGTATAAATGAGTTTCGTTTTTGAAAACATCAGAAGGAATTGTAGCGATTGTTTCTAAAACAAATTTTGACATAATATTCTTTGTAGTTAACATATTGTTATGTATCCTAGGCCGCGGTCCGATACACGCTCACAACGCTTAAAAATCATTTCATCCTTGTTGTTTGTCAAATGTTAAACGAAGACAAACTATGCTCATGAGCGTTGTCAGCATGATTCGGACCACGGCCCTAAAAACTTTTTCAGCAATGAGACAAGTTTGAACAAGATTTTCCGATGCAGAAATCAAGCCACCTCTACATTTTCTTTTCTGCAAATGAGATAAAACTTTATCTTGGATTAAATAGGATGCGCATATTTCACATTTTATAATTTTAGTCACACTTCTAGCAATGAATCCAGCTATATAAGTGACCACATCTTGAACGTAATCGCTGTGCAACCACTCATTGTGATAAAGAGAGTAGTCATGATCACTTTTGTCAATAGAATATATGTCGTGTTCGTCGGTATCATCTTGCATCACATTATTTATATCCTTATGAGGAACTAATATTGCAGAAGATACATTTAAGACAACTGTTTCATCTAATACAATATTATTAGCAGATTTAGAGATATCTACTTCTGCATGAACTAATAAGCGTTTATAAGCTGACATGAATTGCTTAGCATTTGGATTGTTATTAAATCCTCCGCGGCTTCGCACTGCACTAAAAAAAGTTTCTAAATGATCTTGTGATAACTTATAAGTCAATAGATACTGAAAGTTATCATCCGAAAGCAATATTTTGCTAAGTCCTAATACGCTTTGCAAACACAGGAATAAACCAAAAAAACCAACTTTCAAGTTAGATTTCAATATAGGACCCTCAGCATCCTTCAATCCTTGTAAATAGTTGCAATGATTGTTTACTTGTTCACAAATTTCGTTGTAATTTTCTGCTGTTATGCATCGTGCAGATTGATTTTTGTTAAAACGATTTCGTTATTTAATAGATCAAAGATGTTATTTATCTCGAGACAAAATCTAGCCGTAGGTTTGCAACCTACAAAATCAGGTAACTTTAAATCTTGCTCACAGAATAGTAATGCATTTGCTACACTTGTACTACAGACTTGTGCTGCAAGTATAACTTTCATTTTTTCTTTTCGCCAGTTCAAATGGCGACGGCGAATTTTTGTTCCTGCATGAAGTTCTTCCTTCTCTTGTAAATCAACTAACAATTTAACATATTTCCAACATATAATTTGTCCGTCCTTATCCCACAAAATGTATTTATTATCGAAGGCGCCTCGAATGAGCTTAAGCATATGGCAGGCATCAAGAAGAACATATATTTTTTTTTTGGATTTCGGATGAATAAAATATGGTACTAACTGATTTACATCTTTCATTGACAAATTGGCTCCCATTTTATTCAACATGGAAATATTAGAAGTAGCTCCATCCACGGTAACGGAAACAATATGCACATTGGCTTCGTGTAATATTAATAAGCACTGTGTTAATAAGTTAGCCCTTTCTTTTCCTGACAACGAGTGGATAAGGTAATACGCAATTGGTATTTTATAATGACTATTTATACATGTTACCAAAAAGACCAATGCATATTGAGCTACTGGCAATGAATCATTAATGATTCCTGTCCCTAAATCCATATATCCGTAACATACTTTGCCTTCCCATATAATCTCTTGTTTTATAGACATTTCATCGATTACCAAATTAAAATATAAAGTTTTACCTTCAGAGCTAGCTTTATCAATTTTTAATTTCAAAGTATTTATGGCTTCTTTTGAAATACCAGGCACTCCATTTACATTTTGATATCACTTTCTAATTGTTTCAGGATGCGGTAAGGAATTCATAAAAGTTTTTCCAACGTAACTGTATGCTCTAGCAGAATAGAAATGTAGAGTTGTAGCAACAGTTCTGAGAACTTGTGGAAATTCTTCTCTGTTTTTCTTTAACTGTCTTTGAAAAATTGCTTTACTGGTCTCAGATATTGTAGCCTATGTGAAAAAATAAAATAGAGTTACTTTCAACCAAAAATAGGAAATACATCAATATTCGACGTTCCTGTCATAAATAAAGTAATATAATAGTAATGGTATAACTGCCACTTAATTCCTCAATTAATTGTAATTGTGGCATTACATTGATGATATCATAACTTCCTAATTACATTTTGGATTGTTGAGATTGGCTGATCGGCACACAGTAACGTGAAAGTACTAAAAAATGTATTTTAATATCCGTATAAAAATTATTATGCACCAAAGTCTACGCTCACTTCTTGGCCGCATTTGGTTCTTTCATGGATTTATAATTTATTTGTACTTATTATTTTAAATTTATATAAATATATATAGTAATTCTAACTTGCAATGTTAATATGCACTTACAGATAAAATCGGTGTAACTTCATCTGTTATCATTCTTTTACTAATCAAAGTAGTTGTGATACCTTCGAGATTATTGACTTTCTTTTTCAAACGATTGTTTTGCTTTTGTAGTATCGCAATTTTCTTGCGTAATGAATTAATATAAGACATGGCTATTTTCCAATTACGTAAAGCCCTTCGAGGTGATCTCAAATCACTTAAAGTACAATCGCCAACATATCTCGGATTTTCGCTGCGATACCATTTTTTCTTGGGAGTTTGAGAAATCTCGCTATATAATAACAACATTAAGTTAAATTATATATGAATAATTATATATAAATGATATATGTAGTAACTTTATATTATACTGTACCTATTGAGATTTTCTGTTTCCATTTCGTATCTATCCAATGTATTGACTGTAGTTGAGTCGTCGATTATAGGTATTTCCTTGTGAGTGCTTGTATCCATGGTAATATGTATGTTTTTCTCATTGTTATTATAAATATTATCATTATCAATTAATTTTGATTGTATCTTTAATGTGCTATCAATAGAAAAAAATATGCCATGATACTGAATATTATAGATTTATTCTTTTTAGCTAAACTTATATAGTTCATATTTCTTTTGATGCTTTTAGTTTAGATGTAAAAAGAAAAAGAGGAAAGATAAACCATATAAGACATTCAGTTAAAAAGGACAAGCTTTATATTTCTTGAAAATTAGATTTATGTAGTATATTAAACATAAAGAAAAATAATGGACTATGTGTTGCAACCTATTGGTCAATATATCAGCTATTTTATAATTATAATGTCTACTAGAAGCAAACATTACATTTAAAAAATAACGTGACGTACTGATCAATATGTTGGTGCAACATAAGATACATACTTGAAAAATCGTTTATCAAATATAGTTGGCACCGAACCTGGCTTCAAATACGTTCTTTGTTTCATTCCTCCCACACTATAATAAAAACATTCTTCTGAAAAATGCTGACTACATAAAACACTATTTCTAGTAGGGTCAACATTTTCTAATCCCATCGCCTCGATCCATGCTTGACGGATATTTTCCTTTTTTGGAAATCTTTAATTCAAAAGCGCATAACTTATTTTTATTACTTACATAAAATCAGTATGTGTTATACGTATTGTATAGGTTAAAATGTTTTACTTACGTGTGAAAGGATATTTTTTCCTGCCCACCAGGTTTCTTTTGATACCCACATGCGCTGCACGTCTTCATGCTCAATTTTTCAAGAAACGCGAATAAACACAATTATTCATACTAGTGACGCAAATTAACACAATTATAAAAATGGGCAAAGAATGCAGACGATCACGATCCTAACGTAGTCAGCCATTTTGATTTTGTCAAGATTGTCAAGATGCGCGCGCAGAGAAGGACAGGTTGCCCCGATATTTTGCCTCTCGCACCGTTCTGCCAAACCCAGCATGTACTATAGAAAAGTATACGGATGCTGGATTTATCTTATGGCCCGTATTCAGAACGCGCTTTTATCGATAAAAGCGCACTTTTATCTCTGAAATTCTATAATATGCGTGACGTAAAGTATAGTATGTTAGCGTGCTAACATCGTTGTAAGCGCGTTCTGAATACGGGCCTATATGTCTATGGTAGTACGACGCAAATCGGATGCAGTGTGAATTCAGCATATGTATTTAGGCCAATCTACAATACACGGAGTAAGAAGTAAGAGTAAGAAATTGACCAATCACAGTCGAATGTGAGAAGAATAATCGACTGTGATTGGTCAATTTCTTACTCTAATAGCGTTTTCGGCCCGATCGGGGCCGAAATCTTTCCTATTGGTTGATGTCACACGCTCTACCAATAGGGGAGCGCAAAACGTCATTAATCCAACCCAGGTTGGTGCAAACCCGGTCGGGCCGAAAACGCTATTACTTCTTACTCCGTGTATTGTAGACGGGCCTTTATGCAAGAGTGTGTGCTACGGCCATCACATGTACACGAGCTTGTGCTTGTGTATGTGCTACCGGTTGCGACAGGCCGCCGACCGATGGCGCTAGTTGCGATGTCGTAAACCGTAACAGAATTGGCATCTCGGGACTATAGGGAACGAGCCCGAGCAGCAATGAGCAGACTGACACACGGAGTACGCAAGAGTACGGGATACGCTCGTGGCCTCGCGCTCGATCTCACTCGCACACAGTGTCAGTGTCCATTCATTCAGTGTCGTTGAATTCGTCGCGAGTTTTTTGCGGAGCATCCGGTTTGACCGTCGGCCACAATTGTCGCAGTACTGAGAGAGAGAGAGAGAGAGAGAGAGAGAGAGAGAGAGAGAGATAAAATGCGATATCGCGCGAGATTCCGGCGTTGCATCCCGTGTCCGTGGCTTCGCGAGAACGTTGTGGCCGCGGCCGCGTCCCGCTGAGATATGCGCGGTGTGCCCGATCCGTCCGCATCATTCCGTAGTGTGTTTGTGCGGGTTAATCTCAAGTATAGCGTGAGTATACCTCGCTACCGCGCGGTAGCGTATACAGGTAGAGTGTGGAGTGTGAATAAAGCAGAAAAGAGAGGACGAGTGTATGTTCGGTTAGGAGAGGCAGGAAGAGATACCCGTGTATTATAACGAGCACGCATTCCCGCACGTCAAGATGTCGTCCGGACACAGCAGTCGCACTCGCGTCGTCCACATCGGCTCGATCTTCCAGAAGCTGCACGGTCGCTTCGCGGACGCGATGACGCCGCCTAAGCTCTCGACTGACAAGCGTACACTCGATAAGACCTGGAAGCTTATGGATAAGGTCGTGAAACTCTGCCAGCACCAGCGTATGAACCTCAAGAACTCGCCGCCGTTTATCCTCGATATCCTGCCCGACACGTATCAGCGGTTGCGGCTCATTTACAGCAAATATGAGGACCGTATGCAGATGTTGCACAGCAATGAACACTTCTGCGTATTCATCAACAATCTGATGCGTAAGTGCAAACAGGCGATCAAACTGTTCAAGGAGGGTAAGGAGAAGATGTTCGACGAGACTTCGCACTATCGCCGTAATCTTACCAAACTCAGCCTCGTCTTCAGCCACATGCTGTCCGAGCTGAAGGCCATATTTCCTAATGGGGTGTTCGCCGGCGATCAGTTTCGCATCACCAAGGCGGACGCAGCTGAATTCTGGAAGGAGCGCTTCGGGAACAGGTACGTGTCGCCACACTTTTCTCTTTTAATCGCAACCCAAAGAAGCTAGCTTCGCCGAGGTGCATTCACTACCTTCGTTGCCTTCGTTTTTCGCGATAAATTCTTGAGCTTCCACGGCATTTGATGGTTGCTAGATGATTCTCGAGAAATAATCTCCGGTCGTAAAATTACAGATTCAAAATGGCAAAAATGTTTTGGTTATATCAATAAGTACCCAGATAGACAGATGTATATCAATTTTACTGCAACTTTACGTTGTATTCGATCATCAAATGCTTCATAGGTGAGCCGATTGTGATTCCAAATATTGTAGTCGTATTTAGTAAATTAGAAAACGAAATAAATACCACATGATGCAAATATGATATAAATATGAGAAACAAAAATCTGATTCTTAGTGTCTCATATTTACATCATATTTGCATCATGATATTTCGTTTACTACATGTTGCTGCAATATTTCGAATCACAATCGGCTCATCTATGAAGCATTGGATGATTCTAAGATAAAAGTGAAGTTGCTGTAAAGTATGTATACATTTGTTTACTGGAAATATTTTAACGAAAAAAAAATTTAATTATAATTTAATTTGTTTTTTTATTTTCAGAATATATATTTATTAATTAAATTTATTAATTATTTTTATGTATGTACAAATTCATATAATTATATATAACGCAATTATAAATATTCTTGAAAACGCATGGAGTATCGACGGAATTTGAACCTAAGATCTTTGGGGGATGGTAGCCTACCTACGCTAACGTTGAGCTAATCGCACGCTTGTCTGAACACTTTTAAATTTGGCATATATTGAATTTTATTTTGTCATTCGTACTGATCATATATGTATGTAATATGCATGCATGTATATATAGGATGTCTGATAACTCTTGACAACGCGCGTAAGTACGTAGAGTCGACTAAACTGATTGTGAGACGAAAGTCCTCTACGGCTTTGTGAACTTGGCACCCGACTTGCACAAATATATATATATATTTTTTTTTCAGAAAGATCTTCGTATATAGTTGAATGTAGTAACATTTATTTCGTTTGTAGTAGCGCAGAAACAAAAATATAGCGACTTAAAAATTGTCATCCCCCGACTTTGAAGTTCAGAAATTTAAAGTATTGTTTCTTATAGAAAATCGTTTGTAGTGAATTGTAGTACAATTATTTCCGTTTGTAGTTGCACCGTTCGCGAGATATAGTTATTTAAATAACTGTATAAAAATGAAATTAAAAAATTTTTAAGATATCTGAAATATCCGCTGGCGGGGATCGATTCAGAATCGTTTGTAATTGTTTGTAGTGATTTTACTTTCGATTGTAGTTGCACCGTTCGCGAGATATAGTTATTTAAACAATTATATAAAAATGAAATTTTTTAATTTTTAAGATATCTGAAATCCGCTGGCGGGGATCGATTCAGAATCGTTTGTAATTGTTTGTAGTGATTTTGCTTTCGATTGTAGTTGCACCGTTCGCGAGATATAGTTATTTAAACAATTGTATAAAAATGAAATTTTTTAATTTTTAAGATATCCGCTGGCGGGGATCGATTCAGAATCGTTTGTAGTTGTTTGTAGTGATTTTGCTTTCGTTTGTAGTTGCATCGTTTAAAAGTTGCAACAAATTTTCAATACACAAATTACGTAATTTCGCTAATTTTTGAGATATCTCAAATCCGCTCACGGCATCTTACTTAGAATCGTTTGTAGTTGTTTGTAGTGATTTTGCTTTCGTTTGTAGTTGCACCGTTCGCGAAATATAGTTATTTAAACAATAGCATTATCTCATAATAACTACATCTTGCGAATGGTGCAACTACAAACGAAAGCAAAATCACTACAAACAACTACGAACGATTCTAAGTAAGATGCCGTGAGCGGATTTGAGATATCTCAAAAATTGGCGAAATTACGTAATTTGTGTATTGAAAATTTGTTGTAACTTTTAAACGATGCAACTACAAACGAAAGCAAAATCACTACAAACAACTACGAACGATTCTAAGTAAGATGCCGTGAGCGGATTTGAGATATCTCAAAAATTGGCGAAATTACGTAATTTGTGTATTGAAAATTTGTTGTAACTTTTAAACGATGCAACTACAAACGAAAGCAAAATCACTACAAACAACTACAAACGATTCTGAATCGATCCCCGCCAGCGGATTTCAGATATCTTAAAAATTAAAATTTATTTTTATACAGTTGTTTAAATAACTATATCTCGCGAATGGTGCAACTACAAACAGAAATAATTGTACTACAATTCACTACAAACGATTTTCTATAATAAACAATACTTAAAATTTCTGAACTTCAAAGGGGGATGACAATTTTTAAGTCGCTATATTTTTGTTTCTGCGCTACTACAAACGAAATAAATGTTACTACATTCAACTACATACGAAGATCTTTCAGAAAAAAAAAAAAAATATATATATTTGTGCAAGTCGGGTGCCAAGTTCACAAAACCGTCCTCTACTATTTTGCAATTTTCGCAATAGTTAACAAGATATTAATTATTAAAAATCGCCGAATATTGGTTTTCAATAATTTTTTACTCAAATACTATTAACTTTACGAAAAAATAGCAAGAGACAAAAATTGTTTATTTTCTTATAGAATTGTGAGAATTTTTTTAGTACTGCATTTTCTCATGTTGGTAAAAATTATAGTGTCTTACTTCATGTGGCGTAAAATAAGGAAAAATTTACAAATCATTTATGCTTACTATGACATCACATCAGGATTACGAATCTTTTCAACAAAATTCGGTAATCAAAATGTTCATTTATGGTTTTTATGACATCACATCAGGATCACAAATTCTTTTAACAAAATTGCGGCATAAAGTAAAGAAAAATTTAAAAATTATTTAAGCTTTCTATAGCATCACATGATAATTGTAAATGTGCGTCATTATATGATGTATTTCATTTAATTATGTATGATGTAAATACAGGGTGATTTTTTTAACCTGAAACTTTCAAATATCTCGAAAAATAAGCACATTAAGAAAAAATGTTAAGAATCAATATTTCATCATTCCGAGGGTGACATACACTGACGTTAAAATCAGCCCCCTCACTCCGCCCCCTGAGCGGTGAGGGGGGGCAAGTTTGAAATCTTAAATGGGAACCCCTATTTTTTATCGCATGTTCGGAATCTTTGGCTAAAAGCACATACGATTTGTCTGAAACATTTTTCTCGATTCATGATAGATGGCGCTGTAATCGACGAAATTCAATTTCTTCGATTTCTCTTACTGAGAACCCATGCTTACGATTCTGCAATACATTAACAATAAAAATACCACGTTTTCATTGTTAATACTCGAAAGTAGTCTTAAAACTTCTCATTATTTTTAATTACTCATTAATTACTTCTCAACAAACTACTTTTAGCGTAATCCAGGAACAACGACGTGGACGTAGCAGTTTTCTGTTCCCTTTTTAAAATTTTTTAAATTAGGCTGATTTATTGCAGATAAATATTTATCTTACCTTTTGAAATTGAAAAAAAATAAATACAAACTTCCTTTCGGGTTATTTGCTGTAGAATTCATTCCTCGTGGCACGCACAGCCGCAACACTGAGCTGATTCATTACGGATATTTATTTTTTTATTGTCTTAATTGGAATTTTGTTTCAAAAATACTGTTTCTGAAGTTAAAAATAAGAGCAATAGAGCTTCGCGCCTCTTTTCTAATTATTATTTGAAAAATATTTTTCAATGGCATTTCTTTTGCCATATGCCAAAACGGTTGTCCGTTCTTGAGAAGTAATTAATGAGTAATTAAAAATAATGAGAAGTTTTAAGACTAATTTCGAGTATTAACAATGAAAACGTGGTATTTTTATTGTTAATGTATTGCAGAATCGTAAGCATGGGTTCTCAGTAAGAGAAATCGAAGAAATTGAATTTCGTCGATTACAGCGCCATCTATCATGAATCGAGAAAAATGTTTCAGACAAATCGTATGTGCTTTTAGCCAAAGATTCCGAACATGCGATAAAAAATAGGGGTTCCCATTTAAGATTTCAAACTTGCCCCCCCCCTCACCGCCCAGGGGGCGGATTTTAACGTCAGTGCATGTCACCCTCGGAATGATGAAATATTGATTCTTAACATTTTTTCTTAATGTGCTTATTTTTCGAGATATTTGAAAGTTTCAGGTTAAAAAAATCACCCTGTATTTCATATAGTGATATTGAAAAAAGAATATTATAAATCTGAAGATATATTTTCATACATATGTTTTTGTAATTCTATAATAAAAAATTTAATCATTCAAATAACCTAAATTTTATATTTACTTTAATATAAACGTTTTTGCTTTTATAATGTCATAAATAATCATAATATTGTTCTAAATTTTCAGTAAATTAATTTGTGCGTATCGTGATCATCATACAAGTCTATCTTTTTAGGTACAAAAAAATACATTTTCATCATTCAAAATTCTGGTTATCGTAATTGAATTTCCATTTATCTCGACTAGGTAAATGTTTGATAGATTCGACTGTAAGAACATCTGATTTGTATTTTTGTGGTAGTTCAATTTACTGGATTTATCCAGTTAGATTTGTTTTTACGTGTGTTTTCTAAACTCGCGAAATATCTGAGATTGCACTGTACTTTTAGCCAAGATTCCAGAAAGTCATTCTCCGTGATATATTTTAGAGATTTAAACTAGAAAAAGGAAAGAAAACCACTCTGGTTATTGCTTCCCGCAATGTTACTATAATAGAGAAAAATCTAAAAACAAAACGTCTTTTTGAGCCTGTATCAGACTTGAAACTGACAATAAAATTAAAGTTGAATTTGACCAATCAAAGCAAAACTAAGGCCTAGTTCTATCAATGTAATATTAACACGTCCATGTCTCGCGCCATAGCTTAGCGCCGAGACACTACCAGTGTGTGTCTTTAAATTTTATTAACTCCGGTTTAATTTACTGTTTATTTTTTTAATTAATTAAAAAAAGATGAACAGTAATAAATTAAACCGAGACAGCACTTACTGGGTGCGATCCA